GCATCATCCAGGTGGGGCTGCACACTGGTGGTGGTGGAGAGGATCCACATTATGGAATTATTATTAATATTATTATTATTATTATTATTATTATTATTATTATTATTATTATTATTAGAGGCCTTGGAAAAAGTGGAAAGTCAGCGCACTACCTCTGGAAACGTCTAGTCTTCCTGACACCGAGTTAAACTGCCCCCAGCGATACACTCTCCCACACGGAGTGAGAACAGCGTTATATAACCATCACGTCAGCTCGAATCATGTGGCTGGAGTATCTTTCGTGTTCACTGGTTTAACGCGATTTTAACGCAAACGAACAATATATTTTTAAATTAAATTAGTTTAAATAATTAAATAAACCTTTTGTAGTGTAAATACTTTAATCCAAGCCAAATGCACAGTAAGACTCTCTGGTTGTATTATTACATTACTCAGTGATTGTCATCTTAAAGCTTACATACTCAGTACAGAAAAGATCTGGCATTTGAAAGCCGGGCCTAACTTAAAAGCAAATGTCGTTCTTTGCTGCGTTCCTTTCACGCCTATTTCAACAAAAAGGATTACCAAAGAAAATGGTTTCTGTCGGTGATGGTTTTACAATACATCCAAAAGTCGACTTTTTTTTACAATGCATCGATAACCACAGATATTTAGTAATTTTAAATGAATTCTGCCGGTAAACTGTACTGGAATTATATCGCCTACTAGTGGTTTGTCCTTAAATTACTACGGCTGTGATTAAGGATAAGGCGGAACCACTTCTGCTGGGCTTCGTGTTGCGGGTCGGAAGGGTGTTGATGTCGTATTGGTGTGTTTTCGGAAGTCGGGAGCGTTTGTGTGTCTTTTTTTTTCCAAAAACCGTATAGACAAGTGTTCCAGTGTTTGTACAGGCTCTAGTATCGGTCGAAGTGATTAGATAACTTACCCGCAAGTGGTTTTTCTCCTGGATTTGCGTGTTATACCGCCGCCGTCATGGGGAAAAGACAGCATCAGAAAGATAAAATGTAAGTTCACCTGCGTCCTAATTACAACCACTATGCATCTGATCTCCGTTAAATGCTGGTGTTTAAGGTTTTGTTTCAGTATTGGTTCCATAAGCCTGTTAAGATAAATTTTAATATGGTCGCCGAGGCTGCCTAAAATCAGGGATGTATATTATTGTTAGGATTAATGCAAATTAATACAATGATATGTTGGTCAATAGTATATTGTGGAGACAAAGTGAAAAACAATATCGTCTTCCATGTTATCGTATAGCATTCGTTACTATTTTAAATTATTGTAACCTGTGTCGTTTTTCATATACCCTCAAGTCTGAAACTGCCGTTGAAATCACAATGAAAATGTTATGTGATTATTTTCGTCTGTATTCAGGTACATCACCTGCTCCGAATACACACATTTCTACGGAGGCAAAAGAGCAGGTACCGGTGAATGTTTCGTCTGTCTTTACGTCTTTACTGTCCTGCAGCGGAATTTCATGTGTGAGGGGAAGCAAAAGCATCAGTATCTGTATTACTTCTTCCCTGGCAAGGCGGTCACTCGCTTTGTCTAGCTTCTTTCTGAGTTTTGCAGTATTTTATGCCGTCTTTGTGTCATTCGCAGCTGTCTGTACTGTGCAGCTAAGCAGGCTTAACCCTGTTTTAAATGTGTGGATGATTATGCTGTTCGCCCAGACTTACTCTCATCGTTTTTTACGTGCAGGTTTTAAGCTATAAGCTCTCAGTAAACTTTTTCTATGTCGTGCATTCAATATCTGCCATCTCAACATCCTAGAGCTTACTTGAAATCCAAGTTCAGCTCCTAAAAATCACATATCGCAATAAAAATCTAAAATCCGATTGCAAAGCCACATGGAAAAACAAAGCAAACAGTAGAAGATGTAACTGTTATATAAGTCTAAAAAATGTGACTGGATTTAAAAAGACTGGGCATGAACAGGGGACATATAAAACTACAATCAACTGGATGAAGGTCCTGTGTGATGGACACTGAAAAGCAGCCAAACCTTGTGCAGTCATACTATGGAGCCCTGAATGGAAGCAGACATCAAGATCAACTCAAAATTGTACAGGAAGCCAGTGCAGGGACTCCAGAACAGGGGTGATGTTTGCAAGTGACCTAGAGGTACCTGTTAGAAAGAAGTAAGAATAATCAGTCCTTGGAAAAACCACTTTAATGGACCTTTTTTCTGTAACAAAAGCAGATAACATACAGCATGTACACAACAGCCAGGCAATGTTTCAAAGGTAGAAAAATAATATACATCCAGTTTAAAAGTTAGAGCAGGTTAGACTGTAACCCCACATTCTTGCTTTTGGGTTAAATCTCAGGCAAATTGCCATCAACTGACAGGTTTACAGCACTGGTTTTACTTAATAGATGGGAAGAAATTTGTAACATGACCTTAGTCTTTTCACAGTTGTGATCCTCCCAATTTCAGATTTCATTGGAGTACGCTGAAAACATTATTCCATTTATCCAGTTTTCAAAGCTGACAGCTTCACACGACAGCTCAGCGAGTCACTTATAACTTTATTTGCCCTGAAGCGAAGTGCAGGGAAACGGGAGTGAAATAAGACAAGCAGAACGGTAAACTGGGATCATACACGAACCTCGGTTTCCAGGGCAGTCAGGAGTGAGCTGTGCAGAATGTGAAGGAGTAAATTCTGTCACTCAAAGAGGCTGTGCTATAGAGGCCTGAAACTCCAAAAACCCACTTAGCCAACTCTCATAACCAGATTAAGAAGTGGGAAATTAAACTTAAGTCTAAAACTGTACTAGAACCAGAGGAGGGAAGCAGTCAAACACACTGTGTTCTAAAATACAGTACACGGTACAGTTACTTAAAGGGGAACTGCAGTCCCGATTTCTCAGACCAGTTATTAAATCTTGGTAACAAAACCAATTCATTTGCTGGTATGGAGAAATTTGGCAAATTTTGACTTCAGCACAAAATCATGTGAACTTTGTGAAAGTACTGTAAGTTGCCATGTTGTTGCCAAACCCTGGTCTCGCCACGGGTGAGAGTGAGAGTTCCCATGAATAGCAACGCAATTGCAATTGCCCTTCCTGCTCACTAGTCCCTGTAATGACTTATCTGTGCAGCAGGTATTTCATTGCAGAAATGTTCCAGCATGACCTGCAAGCAGAGTTAACAATTTAGCCGTTTTGTTGGGAAAACTCTCTGGAAGTCGAGAGCAATATTTCCATTGGATGACAAGAGATGTATTCACAAGCCTGCTTACTTTACAGTGTAACGGCCACTACATGTCACCAGAAGTTGTGTTGCCTCTATCTGAATCGCAGAACACAGAGCTACAGAGCTGGAAATTTAGTCTATTTTGTAATGTAAATTGGAGGTTTTACACGTAACTGGGTACATTTTGTTTTTTATTGAGGTTTGAAACTCATCAATGCTGGTTCTTTCTCACCCTAAAATATAAAAATAGAAATGCAGTTCTTTTAACCTTTTTCCCCCCTTTTCTTTCTAGAAATTCCACAGGCGAATTTCAGGCGCCTGCCCTTTGATCACTGCAGGTGAGGCAAAGTTTCTCTATTCTCCAATGCTCTCCAATTCTCCAGTGGAATTCTCCCAACCACCGGTTTCTGTTTTCCAGTTTGTCCCTGCAGCCATTCGAGTATCCCATGTGCACTCCTGAAGGACACGTCTTTGACCTGCTGTGAGTATTTCTCCTGCTCCCACAGCCTTTAATAACTGGCTAGAGCTGTTTTTTGTATGAAAGCTTCTCTGTTTCACAGCTGCTTGTAATGTAAACATCCATGAATCTCATCCACTTGTTTTTTAAAAGGTGTCTGGGATCCTGCTTCAGTTATGAGGCTGCACAGCCTTAGATGGGTACCTACACCCCAAAAGTCACAGCTACCCCTCGCAAGACACTGGCTCTGCCATAGGGGTGATATGTGCTCCAGGCTTGACATTTGATTCATGTGCAGAATATTGTAAAAACATCATTCTTCCATCTAATAAATATCACCAATCTACATCCTGTGTCTCTTCGACTGCAGCAGAGAAGCTGGTTAACACATTTGTCTTTTCCAGAATTGCTTAATGCACTGCCCTTGAATCCCCTATCTGAATTATCGTTCGTGTTCACAGATATAATGCGATTTTATCGTTAACGAACAATATCTTTATTAAATTGGTCTAAAATCATCATTACCAAATAAACTGTTTTCCAAATCTTTAAAATGAATTAATTAATCCCAGCCAAATGCGCCGTAAAAGCTCTGGGTACATTATTTAAATCTTATCTAGAGTCCCAGAGCTCTGGAATTCTATGCCCAGGGATACTGGAGAGTTGCCTTCCCTAGTGCATTCATAGTCTAGACTCAAAACCTTTTGAGAGAGGATTTTATTTAATCAGTGTCTGTCTGCTGCACTAATGACCTTGTATCATTTGCTGCAGCTGCTCGTGTTTCTTCTATGCTCCTTTTGTAATTTGCTATCCTTAAACTTCGTTTTTTTTCTACACCTGTTGTAAAGTGCTTTGTGATGCTTCTTCTAAAGGTGTCATAAAAAATTAAAGGTTATTATTCAGCCAGATGCTTTCTCCCGGTTTTATAATAAACCTAAATATTATTTCCGATAAAGTGCTTAGTATGTTTTGTCTCTGCATTAGCAGGACACTTGACTGTTTCAGAATTCATATTTTGGTCACTGTAATGCCACTGTTTGTCATAACCAGGCTTTACAGTTACACAACCTTCGTCTCCTTTGTGCAGGAGCATCGTTCCCTGGATCAAGAAGTTTGGGACTAACCCGATCACTGGAGAGGTGAGTTGTGTCAGAGGCTGAAGAAAAAATTCTTGTGATCTCGTCTCTGCAGCTGAAACGACATGTTGGAGTTGTGGTGCAGCCCCTCTGATGGTGGGTTTTGAAGACTGTATCCAGAAATATGGATGTGCTACACCTTTATGAATTAAGGTGAACTGGCTTCATCACTCTGCTCTCCTCCCCACTGAGAGCTGGTGTGTGGGGAGCAGACCGGTGGATCACCCAGGTGGGGCTGCACACTGGTGGTGGTGCAGGGGATCCCCATTACCTGTAAAGCGCTTTGAGTGGAGTGTCCAAAAAGCGCTAGCTAAGTGTAAGCAATTATTAATTAATTTATTCTTTGCTTCCATAATTTCTCTAGATCAAAATGTTCTTGCATTTTTTTGTTATCAAGACGACTTTGCTCTTCTGATCCGACCTGTATGGCAGATTGGTTTTCATTCCATCGTTATGAGTTACCACCTGATTTTGCTGAATTGGACCAATGACACTGTTTTCCAAATCCTACCGTGGGCAGTGACTTAAAGAGATCAAAAAACCCCTACAGAAGAATGGACTAAAACTGGTGTTAAAGATGCAAGAGATTTTACAGTCCCTGAGGCTGATTTTTTTTTTCAATCTTCTTCCGCTGTTCTTTGAGTCACAGAAGTTGGTAAACCCAACAAAGTCACTGTAGACCGTGTCGTGGGTTGTAATGCTGTTGTGGTCTGCGCGGTAGGTAAGGGAACGATCACCTGTGATGTGATGAGGTGTTGGGTTCTATGAGCAGAAAGGGCAGTAGCTCTTTTGTGTCTGTCTGTCTATCAATCATCTATCTTAAAACCTCGGAAAAGTTGCAGACAAAAACAGGCCACTGCGTTGAATGCACTTCCCTGTAGTTTTGCTTGTGTCCCTGTGTTGTGTTTCGTTGTCGGCTCTGGAGTCTACTGGGTTGATCTTGCTACTACCTTTAGCTTAATTTTAAATAATTGATTCAGGTTCCCTTGTAGTCTTTCCTGTTGCGGACTTAACAGGTCTGGACACGTTCTTCTAACCTGTCAGCATAGGGCATCCCTTTAGGACCTGAAAACATAGATGTTATGTGTGATGTATGATACTGCATGCCCCATTTATATTCAATAATGCTGTTGCTTTTCGAAATCATTGTCGACTCAGCTCAGGACTCTTTTTACCATTTGCATGATCCTCTAGTTCATTTCTGGTCATCCTTAACCTCAACGTCCATTTACCAGACGTAAGACTTCCAGGTCTCTAATTATTGCAATCTCTGCAGTTTCCCTCACGGGATCAATAAAGTATCTATCGGTATTGCCCCCATCTTGACTGTCATACTGTGTAGGCTAAGTTGCAGACAGGCTTTTGGCCACTAGGTGGTGCCAGATGCTGTCTTGTGTCTGGGAGCTCTGAGGTGAAATGGCTGGAGAGGCAAGCTCAGTCCTGGCTGGATTCGCTGTTCCAAAGCACAGATAAGAACGAGCCTCCAATAGGAAGAGAATGCAAGGCCTGTGTTAAGGGACAGACCGTGTGACAGGCGGAAGTGAAGAGGTTATTAATCTGAAGTGGTGGAGAGCACTTTGCAGATGATAAGAAGGGAGACGATGAGGAAATCTAGACCTACGGATTCAGGCAGTGTTTTAGCCCGAGGCTGGTTGTGGGTTTCATGCAGACCATCTCTCCTGCTGCGAGACTGTCACGAGTGCCTGGCCCAAGGAGTGTGTGCACAGCACGTCTGGGACTGATGGCGGTGCAGTGGGGCTCCTCTGTGGCGTTCAGGCAGAAACAAGCAAGTCTCGGCGACCTACAGTATGGCTGGTCAGATCTGTTCTGGTCCCTGTGGCATTTCTGTGTGCCTGTGAGTTCGACACCAGCCGTACGGCCAAAGATGGTCCCACAGACAACCGCCCTTGGCAGTCGTGTCTGAAGTGCACTTTAAACCATGAAGAATGGGCTAAATTAACAGTTGATAAACTGATTGTTTTCGGTCCTCTTCTGCATTTAGCACTTCAAGAAAATGACCTCTGTCTTATTGCATTGTAGTTTTAATTGAGCGTTGAGGTCCTCGTCATGTAGTTCGTTTTGAATCGCTGTGGAATGACAGACATGGAATTTAAATCATGTTTATTGTGTTGCTTTTTTGCTTCCTCAGCACAATTTGCATTAGTTTGGAACTTATGAGGACCAGGACAGATCAAGGCCCCGATTCGATTGGCAAAAGCTGAAAATGGCAATGATTCAATTGCCACAGAGAGCTTTTCTGACTGAATTTTAGACAATTTGGTTCTGAGAAGCCCACATTTCCCTCCCCCTCCCTGCTCATTTGAGCCTCAGGACTCTCGCACTCAGAAACGCTTGGCATGTCTGTATTTAGGCTATTGTAAGATAACACCCACCGAACGGAAGAGCTGCACTGCTGCGTTCTTTTGTCATTTTGGTGAGAGAACCGAGCAGCTGGGGCCGCAGTCCTCTGGCAGAGCAGTTCCTCTGGACCATGGCTGTTTGAGGGCTTTATTAGAAACAAGCCTGGGCAGGTTCTGCTGGCTGGGCGGTGCTATTAAATAAGGTCAGTATTGCTGCCAGGCTCTGATAGTCAGCAGTAATCACCATCTCACGATCTCACCGTTTTCAGTAAAGGAGTTTTCAGACCAGTTTTGGTTTAAGCAGACAGCACCCCTGCAGGTTTTGACAGAGGGGTTTCGTTTCTCCATGGGCAGGCCACTTGATATGTTTTGGATGATTCTGTCTTGCTCATTTCTGGTTGTATTAGGGCAAAATAATACGGAGTGGCACTGTGGCTCAGGATCTGCGCCTGTGGCTTGAAGGTTGCCGGCTCAAATCCCGCGGCCGGCAGAGGAATCCTACTCCGTTGGGCCCCTGAGCAAGGCCCTTAACCCCAGCTGCTCCAGGGGCGCCGTATGAATGGCTGACCCTGCGCTCTGACCCCAAGCTTCTCTCCCTGTCTGTGTGTCTCATGGAGAGCAAGCTGGGGTCTGTGAAAAGACACATTCCTAGCGCAAGAAATTATATATGGCTAATAAAGTGATCTTATTTTAAAAATGAAGTGTCGCAGCTCTTGGTCACTCGTCGACATTAATTATAGAAAATATGTCGCAGGATATCTCGCCCTGTGACACCGGTAAGAAACAACCACACAGCTGCAGCTGTCAATATGATGACCAGGTAAAAGTATTAGAGATCCTTAGATGCACAGGCAGAAGCACCGATCATTTCTTCTTCAGCAGTGACACGTGAACCAGGGGCACCTGTGGAAAGTTTGTGGAAGTGCATTTAAAATCAAAGACAGGAGCCACTTTTTTTGTACTCAAAGATTAAAAAAAAAAAACCAGCCGAGCTGTTGAATCCAAGGCCCGTTCTTCTTTAAAGAAACTGCTGGATGAGATCCTTGGATTAACTACAAGCTACCAAATGGGATCTGTTTTGAAGCCATTCCTCTGCAGTATCTGTTCTGTGACACACACGAGCTTGTGCCGATCTGGCTCGGCCCCTGCTTGGCTGGCGGAGGAGAGTGAAGGATTAGGGAGATGGGGCCTGAGTAGCACTTGAGGGTTTGACCACTCTCCGTTCTAATCACAGGGGGGAGCGTCTGAGTTCCGCTAAACCCGAGAGCTCAGCCCGGGTGATGTCATGTGTGGAACCCTCCAAACCCATTAGGGACCTCACAGCGGGAGATGTCATGTTGGAGCAATTGCTGTCTCGATGCTGTGACTCACACTATTGGCTTACGGGGTTTGACGCAGCCCCAGACAGACACTGGATTATACCAGTGTCTGCTGCTAATACTATTTGTTTGGCAGAGTATTTGCCAGCAGTGTCTGTCCATCTGTCCGCGTGGCTGATGCCTACGCAGCACATCGGAGTCATTATTCAGTGGTTGATTCATTTTGCATGTCAGTGTTTCCAGACAGACAGGTCTCAGCCTTCTGTTCGTACGGCAGGTGTGGCTGAGGTCACCCCATGGGCACAGAGGCACCCCCAGAATAAGGCTCTCTGTCTAAGAAAACTCCGGCAGAATGCGCTGCTTCTAATGTTGTAATGGGTCTCGACCAAAGATCACCCCCTCCAGTGTATCGGGCCAGTCCTTGGGGCGCATCGAGTGGCATCGAGGGCGCTTGCTCTGGCTCGGCGTCTCTGCCAACAAGACGGGGGGGGGGGGGGGGCGATACGGTCGGCTCTTCGTGGCACTACGTGCAGAGAGGTGGGGGTGGGTGGCAGAAAGGCTTGCCGAAACACTTTCTCCCCGGCCCATTTCCTTCCGTGTGATGAGCCGCCAACGCCTGCGCCGGGGCCTTCTTCCTCTCCTGCTGCCGGCGTGTGTTCTTTCCTCCTTGCCTGCAGAGCCGCGGTGCTATTTTGGCCCTGGCATTGACGTAGAGCCGGCTCCTGCACCTCTTCCCAGCTCCGATGCGCTGCCGTGCTGCAGCTCTCGGATGGTTTCCATGGCAAATTTGAATGGGGCCTTGACTCAGCCCTGAGAACCGAGCGCTCCAGGTTGCTGAAAGCCCGCTGGTTGCTCCTTTTTTTTTTTTGTACGTGGCTGTTTTCAAATCCTTAAGCTTCATTTTTCACCCTAAGGGCTCCGGTAAAGGTCCCAAAGACAAAAGAGGCGATTCAAACATAAGGAAAATTGGCCCAAGGATGAAGCACTTGCCCTATAAAGACATATTCCTGGCCCTATGGAACCAGAGTGTGTAGGCTGTGTCCCTCTATAGGAATGGAAGAGATACAGTTACCTCTATGATG